GTAGGACAATATGTTGTAAGCGATGGAAGCAAAGCACTGAAGGAAACACAGGTTGGTTGGTAAATTGTTTGTTTTTGTTAGAATATTATAACACTTTTGGAGCCTTACACATCAGCTTAAAATATTGGTTACTACAAAATTATTGAACCTTTTTGTGATACCCACAACAGCTGCATTGTGACGGCTGATAATGCTTTGATTGTCCGGTAGCTGAGTTGCTATGGATCCGAAACAGCTAGCGGGAAGCTGGTTTCAGCAAAATGTTTTATTTGAGCAAGATTACTGCAGTTACGCAGTAACCAATACATGTAAAGCATTTGGTTTTACTCTTTCAGAACCATATTATTATGACAAAAGTTATCCTGTTGGCTTCAGCGATAACATTCTTTTTAGGTCTGCAAAGAATCATTTGCCACTTATTGTTTTTGACTTTGCTATGTCTGGAGCTGGGTCTTTTGGAGTTTTAATGCGACTCACCAACAGTTTTACTCCTGTACATGGACTCATGCAATTGAAGTCCATCTAGTCAACAAAATTCCCATGCCTTAATAGCAAAAAATGGAGTAGATCGATGAAAATAGATGGTTGTAAGTTAGTAGGATTATATTGAGACAAGGACAAGAATGATGCTCTTCAAGTGTTATATAGTTCCATTGGCTAGTGTTTTCTTTTTTCCTTTTTTCTTTTTGAGATTGGTTTCTTTGGATGGTTTTAGCAAGCAGAGAAGTAGAAAATTTCTTTGAAGCACTTTCTTTTAATGTACTGGCGTTATCCCCCATTTTATTGTCTACATATTAATCGTTGCAAAAATTAAGCATATATATGATCAATGCTGGAACTATGTTCTATTTCCTATGCTTTGTCTTAGTTGTTTATGTCTGTTTCTTTTCTGTCTTTGCCAACAGATTAACCTTATTATTATTACTGTGATACTTGGGATTGTGATGGGGCATATACTCATTTGGAAGTACTCATTGTGTTTCAGTAATAATACATCTCAGATCCTTATGCTCAGACACTTACATGCTTGTTTGGAAATAAGAGTAGCTTACCAAATGTCAAATTAAATATATATAATCAAATAGGCTCACCTAGCGTTTATCACCAAAATAATATTGAATTAATGCAGTTAACTTATGATTTAAGGAAGAGTAATGGGATCTCAAGTTGATGATTCCAAAGTAGAGTACAATGTATTTATTAGTTGTCTAGGTTCAAGGCCAATACATCTCTTCTGTGTTTCTCTATATAGGGTTTTTACTTTTGTTTTTTCAGTAATACAACTGATGATTTCAGAGTTATAAACATTCTATTTTAATTTTTTAAAGAAAAATCACAGTTTTAATTTTTAAAATTTTTGTTTTGACATCCAATAAATTTACGTATTTTTTAATATTCTTTTAAATTTCACAAATATATTCCATAAATATATATTTGTAATAAATTTCTATAGAAAAAATTATTTATTTTTAACAATTAATGTTTTATCTAAACATACAATTACTTATTATTAAAATAAAAATTTATCTACTTTAAATAACTTAAAATATTAATGTTGAAAACAGCTTTTCAGTAATTCCAAAAATTCACTTAATCTACATTTCGACAATGTCTCAAATATTATTTCTACTTATTGTTGCCATGCATTAAGAGTTTTATAATTTATATTTGCCGGAAGTACAATGGATAATTGCTAAAATTTCTGCATTCAATATTATGTGCGTCAATATATATATATATATATATAGTTGAATAGAACGATTCTTAAACTTTTAACAATATCACGAAGAACTTTAATCATATATTTTTCACACCCATCTGGCGTAATATATGTAAATATATGTTTTATGTATTTGCATTTTCCGTTAGTTTTAAAAGGAAAAAAAAAAAACTTGAGCTTCCAAAAAATGGAAACAAAACTTAGGGTGAAATTAATTTGAATTTATAAAGCCAAAGGTCCAAGATTAAAAATATATATATATATATATATATATGACAGAAGTAAAGACAAGAAGAAATATAACTAAACAACTTTTCTTATTGTGAAGTTGACCACCCAGTTCCGGTACTCTCTTACTCGTTTCTTGACTACACAGTATCTGAGTACTATCTCTTACTCATCTCAAAGAAGACAAAAAGAAAAAATCTTAAAAGTACAAAATTCATTCTAATATAAAGTTATTCACTTGAATATTATAGCATCACTTGGAAAGAACACCTATAGCCACCTAAACAAGTAATCAACTACGCCAAATAATTATAAACACTATATAAAAAGATCTCCAAAACTAGTAGAGAACATACATATTTTCCAAGAAAAAATCTATAGTTAAATAGATAAACCCATTCCTATAACACCATAAAATTGTTGTTCAAGTTCAATTAGAAACCCTCCCCTCAATCTCCTCAGATGCTACAATTATATATATACCACCAATACATTTGGAAAGCACAAGCAGCCCACAGCCAAGGAGATGAAAAAGGACAAAATGGATCTCTATTAACTTAGAAATTTCTATCTAGAAGGCT